TTGTGGATAGATTAGAAATTAAGAAATAAGTTAGAAAGTAGATAGAGATCAAAAATATGTGTCTGTATCAAAAATATCTATTGAGGTTATTTAACAGACAAATATAGTTTTGTATTTCTAACTAAGAGTGTGGTTTGCTGAAAAACAGCTTACCTACGTAGAAATTTTTATCGAAAAACTAGTATTAACTTGATTTGAAATTTAATAAGTTTTTATTATTATTTTTGATGCAATTATTTTGCTTGGTGACAGCTCCGAGTATACTTTATAACAAGGATATGTTGTTTATATATCTTTATTCCCATTTAAATTAGGGTTTTTAAAGTACGCGTTTGAAACTCATTTACACCAAAAACCTACTCTAAAATTAAAACAGAAGAAGTAATTTGACTTAATTGACAATATATACATAGCATTAAAGTTTCAAATGAAATTCAATATGAGTTAATAGAACTCAAAACACACTTGTAATCGGCTTTTTTTTAACAAACTCGTAATAAAATAGGCAACAACAAAATGCAATGTAAATTTTAAATGACTATAACTGTAAGTTTTTTTTATATTTCGGCTCACGGTTGAAAATCCTCATGTTGCTTATGTTATGGCTCAACAGATGAGAAGAATTGAAGAGTGGACTTGCAAAACCAGATAGTTTTTAATTTTATTATTCCAAGATAATGGCAAAAAATGTTTTCCAGTATATCGAATACCTGAAAATTAAAAAATTAAAAGCTAAACAACAGATATCATTAAAAAATATTTAAGACCAAAGATTGAAAATCGCTCTTTTGATCTTGTTTTTATTCCAAAATGAAAAAACGTGTTATCTTGTTTTGCATGCCAATTATTATTTTTTAACTGGTTTTGATCAGAAATTTATTTCTAACTGGTTTTCAAAAAAGCTTTATGAAGTCAACTTGACTAGTGACGATTTTAAAAATCAGTATAATTGTGCAAAACGCATCTTTGCCTTAGAAAATAAGTAATTTTAACGTTTGATACTTTTATAGGATTGATGAAGTTAAAACTCAATTGTAACTGTTTAAATAAGGCTTTTGTAGTTTTTTTTTTGTATATGATTTTTTTCTTAAATACCGTCCTCCATTTTTATAAAACGTTTTTAAAAAAGAATGTTATTAGATAAAATTTTTGTCTTATTTTTCATCGACAATATTTTTTTTTATCTGGTTTTGCACAGACAACATAGTTTAAGGCACGTAAAATTTTATTAATATAGTTGCTTTTAAATTTGATTTTTATTTGTAAAGATGTAGGAATATTAATACTACAAAAAAACATTGCCAAGTCTTTTTTTTAAAAAGTGAATTATCTGGTTTTGCAATTCCACTCCTCAATTCAAGTACACTTAGTTCGTTAAAATTCTGGAAGTATTTTTTTTAGCAAATTCAACATTGCAAAAATATTTCTAACCCATGCTTGTTGAGTACAAAATTAAATGAATCAATTTTTTAGGAGGTTAAAAGGATTGAATTTATTTCTTAAATAGAGAAAGACGCTAATATTAATTAAAATAATTATACTTTCAAAATTTACGGCTGTTTGAGTACAGAAACAAAAATGCTCTCAAAAAACGCCTCCAGTGACCCAACATATGATTAATTTAACAGTTAAAAACTGTTTTACTTAAAATGACCATCAGGGCCGGCGCGAGTAGGTATCACGTGGGGGGTACCATTACATTTTGCCCACAAAAATAAAAAAAAAAGGTCCTCGTTTTCCAAAATTTACCGACTGCCATGACGACATTTGCCGACTGTCTAGATTACCGACTAACCTATATCGAAAGGGTCGACGTTTGCCGACTAACTAGTCTAAAAGGGTCCAATTTGCCGACTAAAAATCATTGATGGGGATGGGATGTCACATATAGGGTGGTACAAGTTATGGTCATCAAGGCCGGCGCGATAGGGGGTGGGGTATCACCCCCGCACCCCCTATTGCGCTGGCTTTGATGACCATAACTTGTAATAAGATTCCAATATTTATTACCATTATTACCATTATTTTATAAAAGCTACCATTATTTTATATAAAACAAAATTACAAAGATGTTCAGAATCCCCTCATTTATTGAAAGTTTCCGCAAAATATTTTTGTTCAATGCAGGGAAATATTTCAAAAAAATATATTTAAAAAATATATTAATAAATATTAAAAGTATGTTTATAAATGTAAAAGTGTTTATTTTATTTCATTAAAGTGAAATAGTTCAATAAAATACTTTAAACAAAATAAACTTTTTTAAAAAAGACTCATCAAAATTACCGAAAAAAAAAAGGTTTTATAAATTTACCGATTGAGTACATTCAATAAAAGTACATTCATGACACATTTTGCCAGCTGTTTTTTTAAGTGTATCAGGAATATAGATCAAGCCATAATATGTTGAAAAACCAGCCTGGAGAAACGTGGTGAAATATAACAATAGGTCTTTTGAGCATGAAGATAAAAATAACATATAAATGTGGTTTTACATATTTGTTTTACAATAACCATTACTTAAAATTTCAACACTTCACATAAATTTATTGTAAAAAATATATTTTTAAAACCTTATTTTCATACTATCATTTTGTAGTCAAAAACATGCTCACAATACGACATGCAATGGGAGGTACCGATAATCATTGAATAGCAGAAAATATGAAAAAAAAAACTTCTTTATTTATTTTCAATACTATTAAAATAATAATAATGATAATTATAATAATTTAATTAATAAGTTTTAAATATGAATGCGTACTTCATCCATTATTTTTTTTTTGATTCGCGGGCATTAGCATTGTCATTTTCCTTAGTAGTGGTTTCTTCATAAGGCAATAACATTTCAAAAGTTTCAAGTTTAAAAGGTTTGCTTTTTTTAGAAGCTTCGGACCTTATAATGCTCAGATATTATGGGTCTGATGTTAGCAAAAGTCAATGACATCCATATTACATACAGCTAAATTTTCTGCTGTAATCTTTCCTATATTGTTTGAAATGTTTATTCCTTGCCTCTGCTGCTTCTTATGGGAAATTTTATGTTATTATTATATCTTCATGTTCAAAAGACCTTTTCCTTTATTTCACCACGTTTCTCCGGGCTAATTTTTGCAACGTTTTATGGCTTGATCTATATTCTTGATACACTTAAAAAATATACAAAATTGTATAAGTTGTAAAAATAACTTTAACCAAAAATCTCTTAAAAGAGCAGTCTTAACTATCCTCCTCTGGTTTTGAATTTGAATTTTTTTTAAAAAATATTTTTAAAGGAATGCTAAATGTTTGTTTTGCATATTAGAATGAAACTTTTAAACCATAAAAGTTAAGTTTTTCAAAAGCAGTATACTGTTTTTGAAAAAAAAAATATATATATATTTTTAAAAACTACTTATTGCGAACACTATATAATCCTGAATACATCACTTTGTATATCTTTTGATACCTTTGCAATAAAATCTTATTAAGACCTAAAAAAAAGGCAAATGTAGATCTTTAAAAAAAATTAAAATTACATTCTGGTTTTCCTCGCTTAATCTTTTATAAAACTGCTTGAAAACGGTCTGGAAATATGTTTTTCTCTAAACGGTCTAGAAATATGTTTTATGTAGACATTCAAATTATATTTAAAAAAAAAAAACTTTTATTTGAATACAGTTGTTAACTCTGAATATTTTATGGACAAAATCTTCTAAAATATTTTCTTAATAAAATTTTTTTTATATATTTAAGCAAAAAATAATAATGTTTGCGAGTATTTTGATATATTTGAATTTTTAAATGAGGCCAAGGTATCCAAGGTAACACAAGGTCTCCGCCCAGTCAAATGTTAAATCTTCTAGTTAAAGAATATTTGTTTGAAGATTCAAATTAGATTTATTCCGAATTATAATATCATGCAGACACTTGCATAAATTTTGGTGTTTGCACCTCGTTTAACTGCATTCACCATGTTATTACGGACTAAAGAAGGCGTTAATCTGCGTAAACCACACAAAAATTGGTTTGGGCCGGAATAACCACCAAAGCCAACTCCGAAATTCAATCAATACCTCAAAATGGTATTGCTTACAGTTTAGTGAAATATTCATGTCACTGTATACTAAAACTGCTTTTGTCAAATACGAAAATTATGGAATCTAACGTGATTAACTTAACAAGCCTTAAGTAAAACTCTTGAAAAAACGCCTGAGCTACAACAAAGTTTACTTTCTCAATCTTAACACCCATTCTTCCTCAATCTTAACGCCCTTTCTCACATTGCAAAGTACACGGGGAATAGGCTATAGAAGCTTTGCTATAAAGAGTTGTTTCATTTTCTCAAATTGCCAAATTATCGTTTGTTTTAATCAGTTAGCAACAGCTTGCGCTATGAAGGCGCTATTTCAAAGCTCTAAAATAACCTACGCTAACGGCATATGTTCTTAGCCTAACTATTAGCATGATGTTATAAACATTGTATGTATTGCTAAATATTATTTAAATCAAAAATAAATAATAAATAAGATGTTTTTAAAAAACAAGGAAAATTTTTGCAAATTTCACGCAAAACAAAACTACTTTTTAAGCCAACCCATTTTTTTGCATCTACACAGCAGGATTAAAATTTTTTTTTTTTTTTTTTAATTATTTCTTTATATTATTTATTAGTTAAGTTAAGTCTTTCTTTTATTCAAAATTATTTTTATTGAGTTTATTTATTTGCAATTCATTTATTACTTTATTTGCAGTTTCTTAAGTTTAGATTAACTAAGTTGAAAGCAACTTTATTACGTCCGCAAGATACGCGTAGACTACATATTGTTTCGCAAAAATGTTAAAGATTGGGATAACAAAGTCAACTGAACTAATTTAACTAAGTTTTTTTTTGAATTTGAACTAGAGCACTCAAAATAGTTTTGCTAAAAATGTTATAAAAATAAACCAAATATTTAAAGGAAATGGGTAATAATTGCTACTCGGAAATACTAAAACTGCTAATTGAAATTTTAAGCTTTATTAAAGATAATTTATTTATTTAATTAATCAAGATCTTTCTACAAATTCACATATAAATAGGCTTTTTATTTTTTATATAATTCAAAAAAATTCATAAAATTTATGAATTGCATGGATTATTAGTTATCTTTTTTGCATCTTCAATTAGAAAAGATTTGCTTAAAAACGACGCTCTAAACTTAACGGCAACAGTTAGGTTGTAGTACAAGTTGTCTTTAGAGTAGTATATAATGGGATTGACGACAGCAGATAACTTTGAGAACAATGCAGCCACTCTTAGGAGTAAAACTGGAATAACTAAAGATGTAAATGCGGACAAGAGACCAATAGTTGCATACGGCGCCCAGCATATAACAAACGTCAAAACCATTATTATAAAAGATGAAACTGCTTTGTTTTCTTTTGATTTAAACCTTTTTGTTTCTATATTATCTTTGCCATAAGTATTTGAAAAATATTTAAACTTAAGATGAATCACCCTTGCAGTGTACAAACACGACACTAAAATTATAAGCAGCGGCAAAAAAAAAATGAACACCACAAGTATTACTAAAAATATTTTCTCCGAAAGCATCTTCGGAGACCAGTTTATGGCACATCTTGAACGCGTAGCTTCAAGCGTATAACAAGATAAGCCCATTAATGGTAATGATGCCCAAAATAATGAGTATATCCACGATGCAATTCCAATTTTGAAAAATAAAGTTTTGTAACATCCATGGTTACTTAAAAACGGTTTTTCCAGTAAAACCACCCTTGATATTGCTACTGCGGTGAGAATCGATATTGAAGCAAACGAAGGAAATGCGGTAAAGAATGCTGCTAACTTACACAAAAGCGTAGCTTCTTGTGAGGTTTTATTTAAAAAAAAGGTTGGTAAATAACCAAATACACTTTGAAGTGTTTCGCTAATGGATAAGTTAATACACAAAATAGTATAGTTGTTTACCTTTTTTTTGGCAAGACAGTATAACGCTGTAGTGTTTCCAAAAATAGAAAATGCAACAATTATGGTTAGCAAAATTTGTTCTGCATCCATTTTCTTGTTGTTTAAATTTCATATTAAAAGTGTAAAAAAATAACGAGAAAAACATTTCCATATGATGCAAATGAAATGTTTGTAACAGATTGCTTTGTACAAAGGTAACAATAGGTTCATTATTTAACTACCTTAAAATGACAAGAAAATATTTATAATAGAGACTATTGAAGAAAGATTTCTTTGAAATTTTCCTAATCTGCACATCTGAAGTCTGTAAATGTTATTTTTGGTTTTTCGCTCACCTTTCTTACGGGCCTTAGTCAATGTCTCAAATAATAATTTAAAATTTTTAAAAAACAAAATTTTAAGATATTTAAAGATCTTTGTTATTAAAAAAAAAAAAAAAAAAAAAAAAAAAAAAAAAAAAAAATAGCTGTTTGTGTATAAAGTCTAAACGCGATTGAGTGATCTTTCACTGATTCAACAAGCTTTTGTTTCATGAGGGGAAATAGAATCTTATGTTTTAGTTAGACATTGATATTGGCGGTGTTTTTAAAAATTATTTTTTATAAACATTACTATTTTGCAATATATTGAATGAAAAGTAATAAGATAAAAAGTTGAATAGAAACATTTTTTATTTAAATAAATAAAAAACAAGTTTAGCAAGTTTAAAAGTATATAGCATCACTAACTTGGACGCAACGCCAATTTGAAGTTTAGTTAACGTTATTTTTTTTGGTGTTGAAATTTTGGTGTTGAAATCTTGATTTAATGTCACGCGCTCAATAAGTAAGATATTGGTAATCAGGATATTGTTAATTACTATAATAAATAAGCAGACGCGGTGCAGTAGTAGGTGCACCCGCGGTGTAGTAGTTTAAACGGTGGCCTCAGAGTCCAGATATGCGAAGTTTAATGTTTGCTTTCTATATATTTTTGCGACATTGGCAAGAAAGACTGAATTACCTTGTTAAATGATCCTCTGCTGTATTTCGAATTAACTTTACCAGGAAAAGAAAAAAAAAAGAAAAAGTTAATTATGAACTAATAAGGTATTTGCCATCAAGTAAAAATACAGTATACGTAGATACGAAGCATTGCTTTAGCTGTTATAGTCTTATCCAAATTAGTGCAGATAAAAAACGTTTTTATCTGCGCTATTTGTTTACTTTTAGGGTAACAACATGATGTTGTATACGACTGTTTCTTGTATATAAAAATCTAAAATATACAAAGTAACTACTTTGTATATTTTAATATACAAAGCTTTGTATATTTTAGACTTTTATGCTTACGATATATATATATATATATATATATATATATATATATATATATATATATATATATATATATATATATATATATATATATATATATATATATATATATATATGTACTGAAAAAAATATTATTCTAAAAATAAGAATTGAGCAAAAGTTTATTCCAAAGTTTGAGCGAAGCTGTTTAAATATGATAATTTTGAGAAACAGTTGAATAATTTTTTTTTATTTTTATTTCTTAATAAATTGTCGCAGTTTATTCTTCTTTGCGAATGTGCCTAAAACAAAATGACATGTTCAACGAGGAATTTTATCTGGACAAATTTATTTTTTTCTACAAAAACTGTATTATTTAGTTATTCGTTATCAAGACACTTGAGCACAATTGAAAAATCATTATAAAATAAAATCATAAAAAAAAGAAAAGATTTTATCTAAAGAATACATAATGTGCGTTCTCTCTGAAAATTACATTAGTCGAACCTTTATATAAAAATTACAAATTAAAAAGCAGAATTAAAAACCAATCTGTAAATAATTAAAAACATCACAGAAATGTATAAAACATAATTATGAATAAATTTTTGTATAAAAGACATTTTTAAAAATAATTATATATAAAATATTACATATTACATATATAAAATATTACATATTACATATATAAAATATTACATTTAAAATATTACATATTACATTATATATAAAATATTACATATATAAAATATTACAAATATTACACTATGTGATGTCATTTTTTCATCTCAAAATTGCTTCGGACTTTTTTGATAGATTGCGAGTGGAGATATTATTAAAAATAGACATTTATTTAATTAAAATCGACTGACTGGAAACGGTACAACAACAACCCTCCCGCAACCTATATTTGCAACACTAAATTTTTTTTTTTTGTTTATGATGTTCTGTTTATGACGTGGATTACGGATTTTACAAACAAATAGCCATGATGTCATTAATTTATTAAAAAGTAATGTTTTTTTTTAATTGTTAAAACAAAAATTAAAGATATCTTTGTTAGCACATTTTGCACTATAGTAATACGCTAAGAGTTTAACAGATGATCAAGCAACCAATGCCCAATGGGCATTTGTTCTTAAAAGTTATGTTCGAAATGACTTTTGAACGCCTTTTAAACGTAAAAAACGTTTGAAAGACGTTTGAAGGACGTTTAAAATACGTTTAAAAGACATTTAGAACCATAGTAACACGCTATCCGGTCTTTACATCCTGTTATATAGATAACTGTTTCGGTGAAATATCTGGAAAAATCATCAATATGTTTTCCTTTTAGTTTTGATTTTAACTGAGTTGTTTTCATTTTTTTTTAAAAATTTTTCTTTGTTTTTGTATGAGTGATGAGTGAGGAAACTTAAAAAACAAATATATCACAAAAATATATACCTAACCTTGTGTGTATGGAAAATGTATTGGATATCCGGAAAAACTAAAATTTAAGAAAAAGATCAGGAAAAAAAAAATCCCTGTAGAACGAAATCAAATGGATGTCAAGACCGGAATTAAAATTGAAAATGGTTAGCTCACTTTTGTGCAGTTTAGTGGATGGAATGAAATGGGATGTAAGCCCAAAAATCTCAAGAAACTTTAGTAAGTTACTTTTCAATAAGAAACTTTTTTTACTAGGACTTTAAGTACCCATTCCATAATCTTTATAAATACAAATACTGAAAATAAAAACGGTTAGACTGATTCTTAAAAAATTTTTCTTTTGTATTTGGAAATTCGGAAAGTATTTAAGTTAAACGAAAAAGTGTATATTTTTTAAAGTTATTAAAAACTCTCTTTAGTTAAAAGTTATAAAAAACTCTAAAGTTATAAAAAACTCTAAAAAACGCTATTGTTTTCCATCTTTTTAACACTGATTTTCATTTTAAAAAATTTTAACCGCCTGGTTTTTATTGTTTATTAAAAATAAAACTTTAAAACTATTTTTTTAAGATTTTCTAGACTATGCTAAAATCATTTTGTCATTTATTGATCTCTTACCTAAACGCCAATTCAAATCCGTTTCTCTCTCTCTATATCTCTCTCTCTCTCTCTCTCTCTCTCTCTCTCTCTCTCTCTCTCTCTATATATATATATATATATATATATATATATATATATATATATATATATATATATATATATATATATATATATATATATATATATATATATATATATATATATATATATAAATATATATATATATATATATATATATATATATATATATATATATATATATATATATATATATATATATATATATATATATATATATATATATGTATATATATATATATATATATATATATATATATATATATATATATATATATATATATATATATATATATAAACAAAACTTTATAAGTCTATTCCTATGTCAGTCAATTTATGATAATTAGACTGCTCATTTTTCAATAATTTTATTTCATTGATATGTATGCCGACTAGAAAGATGGGTAATTGTGAACTATTTTAAAGCCTTTATTGATTTGTACTTTTTTTTACTTTGCAGACACCATTTTTTACAAATTTAAAATTCTCACTGGTTATCATAAATATGGGACCTGATATGCTGCAAACGTGTATATGGGACCTGATATGCTCCAAACGAGTATATGAGGTAAGGTAGATTAAAATATTTATAAGCACCTTAAGCAAAAATTGGGTTAAAATTTCTATAAAATGTCTATTAATTTCTATAGAAATTGCTATAAAACTTTTTTTTCTATAGAAAAAAAAAAGTAGAAAGAAAAATTCTTCTGAAATTTCTATAGAAATTAACAGAAATTCTATAGAAATTCTTTAGAATTATGGCCTATAGAAATTCTTTAGAATTTCTATAGGCCATATGTTTCAAAAGTTTATAGAAATTCTATAGAACTTTTTTTCCTGGGCAACCATTAACAAAGGTAACAACAGTATTAAATTTCTAAAAATTTCCTAAGTATATATTTTATAATCCAAAGAGAGATCACGCGGATCTACTCACCAATATTTTATATAAATGTATATATTTAAAATTCTCACTTCAATAAAATAATGCTTTTCGTGAGAAAAGCGATTTGCAAAGCAGATTAAACGGATTGCATGTTTCTGACGGCGATGAAGACGTTGCAATTTACTTTTTTCTGTACTACCCCAGGCAATATCAGCTTATTTTAAATAACTATGTATAAATGAATCATAAAGTGTGATTAAAGTTTTCTTATTGTGGTAGATTCGTGTTTTATATAAAACTTTTTTGAAATTGTAGTGCTTATGTAGTCGATATGATGATTTCAAGTGATGTTTTCATCAAGATGAACACCTAAAAATTTTGTTACGGAATTCTTTTTAATTTCAATTTAATCGATAAAAATTTTAGGTCAGTTTAATGGCAAATACCGTTTTTTAGAAAGCGAATGGAATAAGGTCCACTTTGCTTTATTAGTACTTAGAGTTAACTTATTACATTTAAACCAATTCAATACATGTCTAAGCTCTTTGTTCATTGTTTTAAAAAGTTCAAAGATATCACTGATTGAAAGGAATAAGTTAGTATCATCTGCAAACATAATACTTGTTAGTTTAGAGGCTTTATTTAAATCATTAATATAAATAAGGAAAAAGAGTGGGTCAAGAATTAAGCCTCGTGTGAACGGCGTGCAATGAAACCAAGCTTTTGTTATAATTGATTTTTTTCTTTCGATTTTGTTTGTACATGGATTTCATCCGAAACTTACTTTAGCTACTGTTCAAAGACATAGTAACAATGCTAGAATCAGAACTTGAAGAAAATATTGCGTCATTGTATGATTCATCAGACTAGTATTGTGCGCAGAACTAATACCGAATGAATTTTTATTTTTAATGCAAAGTTGTTGTACATATATATTTATCTGTGAACAAAATTATAAATAAAAGCAAAAAGTATGATGTTTTTCCATTTTAGTTTTTTAACTGGTATTCCTATACATGTAAGTACACATACAGTATAATACTTATTTGTATAGGTATATATGTATAGTTATTTGTATATTCTATACATAAACAAGTCTATTGAATTGTTT